GAGAGAGAGAGAGCAGTAGAGAGGAGAGGAGAAGATGAAGAAAGGAGAGAGCGAAATTGACGAAGAGAGAGTGAAGATAAGACGACAGAGAGGAGAGCCCAGAGAGAGTAGAGACCAAGAGATAGATAGAGAGATGAGAAGGAGAGATGAGGAGAGTGATAGAGAGGTAGACGAGAGAGAGAGAGAGAGAAGAGAGAGAGAGAGAGAGAGAGAGAGAGAGAGAGAGAGAGAGAGAGAGAGAGGAGAGAGGAGAGAGAGAGAGAGCAGAGAGAGAAGAGAGAGAGAGAGAGAATCTGAAGGTAAGTAAAGGTAAAGAGGGGATTTCATAGTGACGCAATCAAGGAACGAGAGAGGGAAAGATGTACAGTCAAATCGAGGCGGAGAAAGCGTGAAGCAGAAAAGGTGACAGGGAGAGGGAAGTGAGGAAGTAGGGTAAAAGAGGGAGGTGGTGGGGAGAGGAAGAAAAAAGAGAGAGGGGGTGGGAGAAAGAGAGAGAGAGGGAAGAGGTAAACAATCTACCCACCTGAGGAGGAGTCTGAGGAGTGATCAGGGTCTAAGGACTCTGATTCAGGCTTAAGGATGGATTTGATCTCCTTGGAGTCCTCCAAACTGGAATCCTTCTTCAAAACGCCCCTGAGGAGCTTGGCCTCGTGCTCCGGGGATCCCACGGGGGGCGGCAGAGGACTCTCCGCCTTGAGGATACCTCTCGGGTGGCTCTCAGACTCGGAGAAGGACGCTCGGCGCGAGTCCGCGGACGAGGAGGAGTGGTGGTGCTTGAGGATGGATCGAGGACTGTCCCGCTGGCCGTCACGCGATCCTCCCGAGCTCTCTCGCTTCAGGATACCTGCGGGCGGGGATCACACGATTAGATGCGCTGCCTCTAGCACAACATTCGCGCTCAACCATCTACGTATCTATGGCCTCGCTTCCCTCTAGGTGTCCCCCCGACCATCTAGCTTGCAGGACGGACACGCTGCGTCACGGATTACCCGGCCATTGAGCTCCCGTGCAACCTGCGTCACAGCTGAGAGTCCAAGGGAGCCGCTAATGCCGCCCGCACGCCCAAGCATCACACCCCTGACGTCGGCGTCGCCCCTGGACACGATACGGCAGACCTTTTGCGGTGCCTGGCCTTCTGTTTTCTTTCGTGGTCTTCCATACAGGACCCGCATTCCTGCATGAAACGTCAGGAGGAATGCGTTTCCATGACAGTCCTATAGGCCTAATCACATTGTCCGTTCACCACAACACCAGCGACACAGCGAAAGATTTCTTCACTTAATGAATGCAGTTATGATTCGCAAGACCTAAACAAAACTACCTTTACGTAAAAAAACTAACGAAGGCATTACCGGGCAGTGTTTTGACAGAGGAAACGATATTGGCACACGCGACGCCCCAACACCAGCACACACAAATACTCCCCCTCACAAACACAAAAAAAAAAAAAAAAAACGGCGTTTACATGCGCTGTTTGCTATCGCGTCCGCCGGATTAATAAACAGAATCGCGCCGCAAGCATGTGCTTAAAAACCCACTCCACAAATCTGTCGACAGTGCGACTGAAAGGAGTGCGCATGTGTCACACCCGCGTCACCAGCCTGCGATATGATAAGATATCCGATCAAAGAGAAAATTACTAATCTTATCGTACCTATTTCGGCTCCTTCAACCCCATGATGAATTCAAAAGGATATATATATATATATATATATATATATATATATATATATATATATATATATATATATATATATATATATATATATTAATATATATACACACACACACACACACACACACACACCACACACACACACACACACACAAAACACACACATATATATATAAGCAGCAAAGTTTTCTCGTAGTTCAATTCATTCTTTCACTGTGTCAGAATACACATTTTTTCATAAATACTTACTCTCTTTTTAGATAGCTTATTTTAGTTGATCTCATTACTTCCTTCCCCCTTCTACCCCTTATCTTTCCTTCTTTCTCAACCGCTCCCTCAGTTTCCTTTTCTCTCATTCAGCTCGCTTAACTCTCTCTCTCTCTACTCCTTATTTCATTCTCTCTTTCTTCCCCTCTCTTCCTCTCCTTTCCCCCTCTATGTCTATCTCTCCCTATTTTCCTCCCATTCCCTCCCTCTCCCTTTCACCTTTACGCTCAATATCTGTATGTTAATCTTGCTGCCCCCTAACCCTCCCCCCCCCTATCATTTCCTCGCCTTCCACGGCCTCCCACACGCCTCCCCCCCCCCCCACCCCCGCCCACGCCCCGCCCAAGCACAGCGGCGCGGCGTCCCTACACTGGCCTGAAGTTTTCGCTTTGCAGTTCAAGGCCTAAGGCAAATTCTAGGGAATTTTCGCTCTGTAGTTCTAAGCCTAAAAGGAGGTAAATCAAATTCTAGCTCTAATTTACTAGACCAAAGTTGCTTGGAATACTACTAGCTCTACTGTTGTAGACCGAAAGCAGGTTCTAAAAAGTCATAGAATTAACCCAGAGTCAGTTTTTCGCTACGCTACGAAGAAGAAAAAGAAGAAGAAGAAGAAGAAGATAAAAAAAAAGACAAACGCTAAGACGCTGAAGTTCTCGTTAAGCAGTTCTAAACCCCATAGCAAGTTCTATTAAGTTCTCATGTTCTAGGTTCACGGCCCAAACTTGGAACTCCCTCCCCGTCCCTCACTCACTCCCTCGGCAGCTAAGGACTGGTTATCATTAGCGTCTCGTTGTTAAATTAGTGGTGATATGAAGGACGGCTAATAAAAAAAGATAATGATATAGAGTTATGGTATAAGGTAACAATTTAATCATTAGAACAGTGTGTGAGTGTGAGAGTGTGTGTGTGTGTGTGTGTGTGTGTGTGTGTGTGTGTGTGTGTGTGGTGGTGTGTGTGTGTGTGTGTGTGTGTGTGTGTGTATGTGTGTGTGTGTGTGCCCATGTAGCCATGTGTTTGTATTTTTTTCTATACAATTACATTTTTTATTTAGATCAAATAAAGAACCCACCCCCACCCTAAATCATACATTCTTCCTTTAATGAAAACAACCCAAGAACAAGAACACATCACATGAAAATAAAGAATAGAAAAGAAAAATAAATAAGAAGTCCCGAGAAAAAAATCTCGATGCGTGACTGGCCGAAAAGAAAGAAAAGAGAGAGAAAAAAATAATACAAACGGACAAAGTTAAAAGTTGTCCGCGAAAATGGCGGCGAACCCAACCCTCTTGCAAGTTTAACCTTTGAACCGTTCCTTCTGAGGCGACTGAAATCCACAACATAGAATACGATAGCTAAGGAAAAGAAGAAAAAGAAGGGAAAGGAGGAAAACAACAACACAA